AAATTATAACAGCATTTTTACGGCTGCCAAAAGGCTTGATTTTGTAGACATGCTCTTCATTTTGTTTATATTTGTTATTTATTTATTTATACAGCACCCAAGGTTACGACGCCGGCTCCAAATCCTAGTAATTATTTTATATTTTAGTTGTTCGATCGTTTCCTTAAAAAAGGCTTTGTTTCTTCTTCTATTTGATCCTTTAATGACAAACGCTGCAATAAAAACCGATAGCTTGTTTGTTTGTTTGATTGATTGGGTTTTACCACAGCGATGCGTCAACGACCTTAATTATTCAGCGAGGACCCCACAATAAATAATCATTTCATATAAAGTTATATAACATTTTGGACACAATAAATGATTTAACAATGTTAAATTTGAATTAAATTACCATGAAAAAAAAGACTTGTAGTATGCTCCTTTCGAAAATTAGAAAACAATCATAATGTAATATTACTAATTATGTATTACCAAATTCATCAATTTGGTAGTAAAAGCTTTCTTTTTACATTTTCAGAGAATCCCGAAGTTCGTAAGTATTTTTTTAATAGATAAAAGATAAAATATGTATAATATCAAATGTATACCATTCTAAAGAAAAGTGTGAATTTTTACATTAAAGACGAAAAAACTGGCATTTGTACTATTTAAATGCGTTATTAAGGATATCAGACCTCTATTGAGCATGCGCGAGTCACCATATGGTCATTCCCCCCCCCTCGCCCCTTAATAATAACGTAAGTTGGTAGCTTAACATTTGTTTTACGATATTAAAATCTATTCTGCTTTGAATATTTATCGTTTAATTTAAAGCATTACAAGTCTGACTACGTACAAATATGGCGGAGTAATAACTGAATATATATGAGACAACATGTAAATGTATATATTTTAGTATGCAGGGGAAAGAAGAAAGACGTAATATTTGCAGTGGATATGTCTAACAGTATCTGGGAAGTAGATTTCAATACACAACTTAAGTTTCTGTCTGATCTCGTCGGCGTCTTCGACATTAACTCTGGAAATACACGGGTATGTATTTATGCTATCTAATGCTACATGAAAGCATTGCGACTGTACTTTACTGCTAAACTTTTACATATGTCCTTAAATTCCATAAGGTCAATCTATAAAGCCTTAAAATTTCCAGAGGAATGAAATAAATTTGAATGCATGCAAACATTAATTTAACCAAACCCTACCAATTCAAAGGTTTAACATTTAAATATGGTTAATTTGTAGGTTGGACTTCTGACGTTCAGTACTGGCACACAAGTGAATTTCTACCTGAATAATTATGCTAACGTTGATGACGTCAAAAACGCCATTCTTGCAGTGAAGCAAAAAGGAGGCTTGACAAATACACATCTTGCATTGAAGGTACTTTAGGGTGGGATGCAATAGAAAATAGGAATTGATTTCTGCTCATATATAATATAGATAAAGCCTAGTCAAAGACAAATTCTAAAATGGTATCAAATTTTTACGTTTTTATTGGTCGAAAAATGAACGAACATATTTAAGATTGCATAAATTGTATCTTGCTGATAATTGTTTTTTCTGTCGTTATATATCTTAAGGAAGTCCAAAATGATTTATTATCATTCGAGCATGGTGCACGAAAAGGTGTAGATCACGTGGTCATTGTAATAACCGATGGTGTCTCAAGACAGCAAAAACTGACGGCTTCACAGGCTGATATGTTACATCAAGCAGGCGTTGAAGTTATTGCAATTGGTGAGTCGGCTAATAGCAATTACATACCTTGTACGAGTCCATGTACTTACATATGGTAATTATACGTGTTAAACCTCTTCCACGGTGTTTCTTCCACGATAGAAGAATGGCATTGTTTAACTTTTCAGAATGTCGTTTTATTGCAAAGAAAACTGATATTTGTATATGTAGTTTAAATTGGGATGCCAAAACGACCTAACAGCGACCAAGGCATTCCAAACGCATGTACTTACGATGCAGCTATATTGTTGCAGCGATTCGGGAGATCGTTACTGCGTGCACCAATTCGGCGTTCTGTATTTTTCTTAGAAGCTATATTAAATCCTAGTATATCCTATGTACAATGTATGTAAGGTGATATGATTAGACAAAAATTAATGACCACAAAGAATGAATGGAAAAAACCTCAAGAAAATATTGCATCTGGTATTCACTTAGCAAACACAAATGAGCCGCGTCACGACAAAACCAACGTTATGCGTTGGCGACCAGCATGGATCCAGACCAGATCCGCGCAGTCTGATCAGGATCCATGCTGTTCGCTTACAGACCCTATAACAAGTAGAGAAACTGATAGCGAACAGCATGGATCCTGATCAGACTGCGCGGATGCGCAGGCTGGTCTGGATCCATGCTGGTCGCAAACCCATTTTGTTGGTTTTGTCATGACGCGGCTCATATCATTTAAATATTTGCTTGTTTACAGGTGTAGGAGATAAAATAGATGTAGTCGAACTGAGTAACATTGCCTCAAGACCTGAATATATGTTTGATGTGAATGGAGGTTACAGTACACTGAAGGACATCTCCAACATACTGGCAAGAAAAACATGTGAAGGTAATTCTATACTGTATCATTTAAACTCGATTTTAAAACTTGAAAAATTTGAAAAGTTAACGCTTCATCTTATCCTCACATTCATTTCTTGATGATGTTATTTGTTCTTCTGTCATTTTTGTTTTATAATACAACAACAATGTATGATCAATATTACAAAAAGATTTTTATCGTTTTTTGCGTTCTTTAAATATTCCATGTTTATATACCTCGTTTTTTATTCTTTCGATACAGTGGTTTACTGAATGACTGCCAGTTGAGATTCACAGACTCGGAAGTACCTTGGTGTTTGTTAAAACTGCAAACATTCTTTTGAACATTAAATGCGTTTGTGCTTTAAATAGTGAAATGTGAACGCATACTGTAGAAGGTAGAACAAATTGTGTATATTCACTAAGATGTAAACTTTTATTTAATAAATTATGCAAATGTTTATATGATTGTTTAATATTTTCATCCTACCAATATTCACACACTTACGTATCTATAGATATATTTTTTTCAAGGATTTGACCAAAGTTCGAAACATATTTATGTCAGATCTAAGACAATGTATAACATAACAGGCGCAGATAAATGCTTCTCAAACGGTAATTGACACATTTAGCTTCATTAAAATACTTGAAAAGAGGTGCTCTCTCGATAAAAATTAAAATATAAAAGAAAAGATGAACATCGCAGACTCAATCTTATTTAGTATTTATAATAGTAAAAAGCCCACTAGCAAAGGTCTTAGTGGTTTGTTTGTTTGTTATGGGTTTAACGTCACATCGACACAGTATAGGTCATATCGCGACGTTTCAGCTTTACTGATGGCGAAATACCTCAGGTGCCCCTCCGTGCATTATTTCAGGCACGAACGGGCACCTGAGTAGAATCACCGACGTCCCGTAAGCTAGCTGGAAAGCTTCATCACATGAAAGAATCCAAAGTCCCTGTCGGGATTCGAACCCACAGCGGTGAAGGGCAAGTGGTTTGAAGTCAACGGCCTTTACGACTCGGCCACAGACGCCTATAGTGGTCAGCCTTAGTGGTATTCAATGTCAAATACTAGATTATTTGATTCCGAAGGACCAGAACAACACTAAAATTGTTGAATGCCCTCATAAAAAAATTGACATCTACCCCAAACATTATACTAAATTTTGATTATATACATTCATTGATTATAATAGTGTTCGAAAAGTACTCTTATCAGCTTAAGAACGATAGCTATATTTGTATTTTAACCTATCCTGGATATGATGCAATAAATAAAACTTGAAAGTGTTTCTTTTTAACGAAGAGAATCGGTAGCATACAAGAGCAGTTAACAAGTATCGAGAACACATGTTTCTCTTATTGACTTTTCTCCCTTCCACGTGTCTGAGATGAATTTAGATAAAGGGAGATCTAATTATCATTAGTTTATTTCATGAGGGGCAACATACTGTGAACAAATTTAAAACGATTTGTTAACAATAGTAGCAGAAGATCTACTTTAAACTTCCCTGAAACTAACACATAACCCAACAACGAAATGAAGAACAGGAATATAATACATTGGAACAAAAATCACAAGTTCGTAGTTGTGCTTGTACTTTAACTTAATTTACAAATGTTAGTTATTTCAATGAAGTTAACAAACACATACCATTTAATTATTGTCTCTGTGCGACATTCACAATTAATTTCTAAATGACACGTTATGATTTCACGAACTTCAAATCATGATTGTTACGCATAAACTAACAACTATTCTTTCGAGATAAAACAATACTTATACAAAAGAAATAGAAGATCTAAACAAGATACCATAATTCCTGAGAACTTCACATTTATCAGGGTTAAAATCCATGGACCAGTCTTTTTCCAAATATTACAGGGTTTCTTTTTCTTGTTATACCCTCGGAAATGACCTACCTGCTTTAGAAATATGGGAAAAAGACTGGTCCATGGATTTTAACCCTGATAAATGTGAAGTTCTCAGGATAAAAAGAAACCCTGTAATATTTCCTTATACCCTCCATAACATTCAATTTTACTCAACCCAAGAAGCAAAATACTTAGGAATCAATTTTAGTCAAGACATTTCATGACAATATTACATCTAAAGCAAATAACTCCCTTAGATTCATTAGAAGAAATGTTAAAACACCAAATAAAAAGATAAGGAAACTGCATATAAGACCTATGCTAGACCTCAGGTTGAATATTGCTCCATAGTAGGCATCCTTGGCAGAAATACTTAATTTATAACATAGAGCAAGCAAGTCCAAAGATCAGCTGCTAGATATATTTTTAATGATTATGACTATACAAGTAGTGTCTCAAAACTGATAAATGAACTTAATTGGCAAACCCTTGAACAGCGTCGAAACATAAGTGTTGTTACCAACTTGTATAAAATCCAATACAACATTGTCTTTGTTGACCACTAACATCTTACTCAAACAAGAAAACTGAACTACCTGATACCCTACTCGAGGACACAATACCATCAAAATTAATTGTTTCCTAGGAGCATACGTCTTTGGAATAGCCTTCCTCTAACTTTTCAGTTTAGCCCCAGTTTTAACATCTTTACTGAGAAGCTTGACCTATTCTATCAATTCTAAATTGCACGCTATGTCTTTTAAATTAACATTCTTGTAGAACTTTTATTCTTTTAACTTTTTAAATTTGCATATACATTTTTGTTTGTAAATAATTTCTTTTATCAACAGATCCCTGACAACGCGCCTGCTAGTCACAATCAAAATTGATTGTTAAGCAGTATCTTATAGCTGTAGATGTAGAAGTGTTACAATAGATGGTTGAAAAAATTGTGTTATTTAAAACCATGAAATTATATAAAATCGTTCATATTAATTTGATATTTCAATTGAATGATTTGATGCTGTATCATTCATATTGTCAAGAGATATTTTCTATATTTACAAAGTTTTTATTCCCACGGGAATAGTTTATTGTTATTTATTTAATCGTGTTGAATATACCTTAAAATATATGCGTGTGTGTGCCAATAATAATTTTCACAGTTACTATAACTAACACATTCTCACTACAATGTGTATTATATTTTCTTAAAAATAGGAATGGTTAACTTGTTGCGGCAAGTTGAATATAACTAAAATTGTACCCATCTATAACAATGACTTCTACCTTGAAATTGATTGAAGCAATATCAAGTACATGTTCTTGCCAAACAACTGTAACATTCATACCCCCATATTCATATCCTTTTAGCACTTTGAAATACGGGCCTAGCATGCCTAATCCCTTGTCCAAGCCAAAGGTAGAAGACTACTCAAGTTGTTAAAATATTTGAAGTCACCTAAAACTAAAGTGTTATCTATGCGGTTGTCGATAGCTAGAGAATCATCAATTAAATCATGATGAACGGAATCAGTATTTGAGTTTTATAAAAAGGCTCATGATATTAATCAAAGTACATTCAGCAGCCCTTATCACTTGCAACATTTCTTTCTTTCATGAAAAGTAAAAGTCCTCCATATTTATTCTATCTTTTCTTTCTAGATGCCAGTAAGAGCTTAAAGTAAGCCATGTTTTACAGTCTCTAAAGAACGCCAAATATATACCAAGATTGAAAATGTTACAGGCTCGGTTTGATTGAGTCCGGTTTATGAAGATATTGTTTTAGTATTGAAAGAATACACCATTTGCCTGTTTTTACAATCTCATAAATTTCAGTTTTAAATGAGGATTAAATGCTATCAATTATTTTAGCAAACTCTCCATTTTTAACAACCATAGTTTCCGGTGATGACTGTTTGCAGACACTGTTTTCAAATGGTCAAGACATACAAAGTCTCTTTGGAACACGTACTTTTTGTGTAAATTCCAAGGATGACATGCGAAAGTGTTCTTTGATTATGTCAAACTGTTTATTTATTATATTGTACCACTATTATGATCACTTTGCACAGTTATATTTTCAATTGTGTTATGCTTTATAGAATAAATACTCTCTGCCTTGTGCCCTGTCCTGTTTTTGTTTGGGGTCCTTCTGGGCTCCTTGCCGCTGGTTCTTGTTGCTGGGCGTTCATTGAACGCCGCCTTTCCTTGTTGATCTTGTATATCATGATTTTTGGTAAAAAAATATAAGTTAAATTGCCAATATGGCGAAAAGTTATATAAACCAATTTCACCAACATTTGGAAATATTGATATTAAAAATTATCTTGGGTACATTTCAGCTTCATTTATAAATATTCCAGAATCAAGTAATGCAAGACAAAATGTTAAAGCACTTTTAATATTGCATAAATTGAAAATTTTATTTCTGGCAAATTGTTGAAAAAAAAACACTTAAAATCTTATTAATCTGATAGAATTAATGTTCTAACTGTAATAAATTTTGTTTCCTTGTAAAAAGGATAACTTACGCATAGCGTTTTTGTTATAGAGGTATATAGAATATTTGAATAGGTGTCCCCATTCGTGGTTTTTCTGGATCATCCTTCGTGCACGCGGGTAAGGTTGTTGATAAGTTCATATATAGGAACATACAAATTTAACATTAAATGTTTGATCGACATCGGTACAATGAATTAGGTATTCTGGTTCCCGGCATCCCAACTCATTCATAAACAAGCTGACGTTATTTCATACATACAGGAATGATAAATGGGACACTGATGTAAACACAATACGACGTAAGTTTTTAATGTTGAAAACTTGATAAAATAACGTTTTTTTCTTATTATTTCTTTTGTTTAATAGTTTATATATCTTCGCAACAGTAGGATGCGAAAATCGAACAGCGTTATACGAAAATCGGCACCGGAAGTTATTTCCGCTTGAAAAATAACATTAGTGATTTTCCTTATTTTATCGTGTTAGAATCGAAATAACATCGTCCTGAGAGGTGTATATCGGCTATTTAACACCGGTTTTGTCGTTTTGATGCGACAAAATTAACCACTCAGGCCTTCGTGATTATATTACTACGCATTTGAACTCAAACCGTGCATTATTCTACAACAATGCACTCAGAATTGATTTATAATATATGTCATATGTTGCGGTTCAGACCGGAATATCCGTCCCGAGGGGACCTGCCCATTGAGCGGTAACGAGGCTTGCCGAGTTACCGCCCATGGGCGGGTTCCCGAGGGACGGATATTCCAATCCGAACCGCAAACATGTTAGATATTTTTTCTTGCATTTTCTGCCATATTATTTCATATTTAAAATGGTTTACCTCAATATGATATATGTTCATGGAAATTAAAGTCATTTCATCCATATCTATTTTCTAACAATAGCGTATGAGCTTACAACTTTTAAATAACAACGGCGAAATGTCGTCATCCTTAGCACATATTTCCCTTCTAAAACGACGTCATTTTACCGCAGTTCATTCATAAAGCGCGCTAATATGACGTTGTTGTTTGGCACGCGGCTCATCTGGCACCCCCATGCCAGATGAA